CACCCACTTACAGACACAAAAGCTTCAAAAAATACAAAGGAAAACACCTGGAGCCCAGCAAGAGTGGTCCCTAACCTTGTCGTCTGCAACCCCACCTTGGCAAACAGTAGGATCCCTTGCCCCTTTTCCCCACGGCTTTGGAGAACAGGCAATAATTACACCACAGACTTAATTTTTTTTTTTTTCAGACAGAGCTTAGAGATGCTAAAAAAAAAGAAAGAAAAATTCAGACTGAAAGTTATTTTTTTCTAATATGAGTTAAGACAGAATGATAGAAAGCTGAGAGCAATGTGGATATAGACTGGGTTAAAACCTACCTCTTGGTCTTGTGAAGAGAAAAGTTAAACCTTGGTGTCTGACACACAGTAGGTGTGCAGTACGGGCGGGCTGTTATTCCTGCCGGTGTCATTTCTTGCAGTTGTCAACTCTGGTCTGTGTGCTGAATTAATATAATCCAACTACTGTTGGGGAGGAAGTAAAGAAGCTAATATTTATCCAGCACCCACTGACATATGTACTAGTCACGATGCAACATGATATCTTTCGTCTCATTTAATCTACCAGATAACCTCATGAAATCTATAAAAATGAAAAATGAGATTCGAAAGGTTAAGTGATTCTTTCTAGCCCCTGGAGCTAGAACACGGAGTGCTAGATCCAGATTGGCTGGGCTCTCCACTGTTTATTTAGTCTCTGAGATTCAGGGGTTTTGTTGCCTTTTTTTTTTTTTTTTTTTTTGCTCCTGTAAAATGGGATGATTATTGGACTCCTCCATAAGCTTGTTATTAGCATTAAATAGAATCTTTCCTATAAAAATCATTTCAATATTGCTTGGAACCTACTGCACATTGAACAGAGGTAAACTGTTGTTAGAATTGTTCATTTAAGCAAAAAGAGAAGATTTGAATTGGATTTCTTTTACTCCGGATATAGTCCCTATATATGGAATAATTAAATTGAATAGTACAAAAGCAGCAGCTCTGGGCAAAGCACTGGGCTAAGCATCATTTGGGGAAACACAAATAGGAATGCAACAGAGTCTCTTCCCCACACGGAAACGGGAGACCAGCAGATGTGCAATTAAGTGTGATGGTTGGGTTTGGGGATGTGCCCAGAGAAATTTAGAGGAAGTTCTCTGGAAGCCCAGAGGAGGGAGCCCTTCAGACTGGTGAGGGAGGGGTGTGGTAACAGAAAAGCTCCTGAAGATCCTTGCCCCAGGTGGGTTCTAATCTTGAAAGAAGGACATAAACAGGACACCAGGAACAATGCAAGATCCTATCTCAGGGAGTTCCAGATTCTACTACACAGACAATGCTTGCCTAGGAATTCTGAGGTGAGTGTAATCCTGGCTTGGCGTACGGTGGGGCTTGGCTGGAGATGAGAGGTGACACAGAAGGTCATAATATGCAGAGCCCTAGAATGGAAGAGAGGGTGCTCATTTATGGAGCACCTACTGTGTGACATACAGCCCATCGTCCTCACCACAGCTGTGTGATAAAGCCACTGAGACTTAGGGAAATTCAGCGCCATGCTGACGGTTATAGGAACCCAGGTCACAGTGATGTGTACTTAAAATAAAAAAAAAAAAGATTTTATTTATTTATTTGTCAGAGAGAGAGTAGAAGCAGGGGGAGCAGCAGGCAGAAGGAGAAGCAGACTCCCCACTGAGTAAGGAACCACATGTGGGACTCGATCCCAGGACACTGGGATCATGACCTGAGCCAAAGGCAGATGTTTAACTCACTGAGCCACCCAGTCATCCCTGAGGTATACTTTTTGATGTGTATATGAACCACTCTCACTCATTCAAACCCCTCCCAAACTTTAGGACACCACTTAGATGTTACTCTCCTAACTTCCCATAGACCCTTACACCCTCCCTGGCAAAATATCTTGCTTTTAATTATTACCAAATAAAAGGAATAATGAAGGTGTGTATCCTAAGAGTGAAGGAACAGAATTATTTTTTTTTTCTAAAAAGTAGTTTTTAGAACAAAACTTTCCCCAAAACAAGGAACTCCTTGAGTGGGAATTGGAATGGAATTGACTAAATATGGGATGATCCAATGGGAATTACTAGCATACTCTAATAATTAGTGGCCCCATTACATTTCAGATTTGGAAGCGATCTTAGGTACCTACCTTCAACTCCTGTTCTTTCATTTTATGTAAGAGCAAAGAGGTCAAATGTCCATACAGGTCAGAATTAAAACCCGAGTCCCCTAACTGTCCAGTGAATGCTCTTGGACTATAAATGATGAAAGGACAGGGGACAAATCTTGAAAGACCAAGGGATGTAGTAAAAGAGGGATAGTGGCAGGTGTTATGTATCTCATATAAAGAGATAAGAATGGCCTGCAGTGACAGTGATTAGGGTGGGTCATAGACCAAGGGTTATAATTCATTCAGTCGTATTCACTCAATTAAAAGCAAACACATATATACATACATGTATAAAAGTCAAACTGGCTGGGGTGCCTGGGTGGCTCCGTGGGTTAAGCCTCTGCCTTTGGCTTAGGTCGTGAACTCAGGGTCCTGGGATGGAGCCCCGCATAGGGCTCTCTGCTCAGCAGGGAGCCTGCCTCCCTCTCTCTCTCTCTGCCTGCTTCTTTGTCTACTTGTGATCTCTCTCTTCTTGTCAAATAAATAAATACAATCTTAAAAAAAAAAAAAGTCAAACTGGCTTCTGAGACAGGTGCAATAGAATAGTAAATGTGTGCTCAATGAAATGACAGATGAAAGGCTTTGCCACTTGCTCCAAAGCACTTAGGGACTGAGAGCAAGATGCTCTGAGGTTGTGCTACTTGGATCTGTCCCTTCATCTTCATGTCTGCCACAGGAGAGAAATGAACACTTGGCCTCCTGGATCTTCATATGTCTTTAAGAACCCAAGGGCACTTGGCACTTGACAACGGCAGTGGATTAAATGGTATTCACAAAGCATGTTTATAGTTTACAAAGTATTACACCCCAGAACTTATTTTGGTCTCAAAATGAATCTGTGAGATATTCCCATTTTAAAGGTAAAGAAGTAGAAGTTTCGTGAAGCACATGGCTAGAGCAGGGCAGAGCCCGGACATGTGTTGGAGTGACTGGGGACTTAGAACTGTGTCTTGTGTCATGACTCTTTGCGGGAAAGTTGACAAAGTCCCAAACATCTAGGAATATTCAAAATTATTGTATACAATGACTGAGAAGCCCCTGGAAGAAAGACAGTTTTCCAATGCCTAATTGCCACAATTGAAGTGAATTCGTAGTCATGTTCCAACCTCTGTTGGGGAAAGAGGGGGTTTTTGCAGGATGTAATTTACGGAGTTCACCATAGATCTTTTTTTTTTTTTTCCTTTTTTTATTGAATGCCAACCTCCTGATTTTCATAGATGATTTGGAATTGCAGAAAGTGAATGATTTGCTCGGGCAAATTCCATTATCTATGCCATTGTACCTCCCAAGACCTTTTCCTTTCAGACTGGAAACACATTTAATATAGTGTCATTTTAATTTCATAACTGGAGAAACTGAGTTCAAACATTTTTGGCCTTAGAGCCTATGGCAAGTACTTCCCAAACCAAGAAGTTCTGAATCTGGGATCTCCTGTTTTCTGAATAATACCATAATCCCTACATACCACATTTCGGCTTTTATAGAGGGGATGTCTGAGTCATTTGCTCATTCTACAAATCTGCATACTTTCACCAACACATATTCTCCACTGGTGTTCACTCTCCCTGAAGTGTACAGGAATGATCCCAGCTCTCCGGAAGAATCTGGAGCAGCCCTGAGGACAGGAGTGTGTGGGGAGGAAAGTCCCTGGTTCGTGGAGCAAATTTCGCCTCAGGCTCCTAGCATGCTGTCCACACACAAACCTCACACAGCATATTTTTATCATGACATTATTTGAACATACTGGTAATTAATAATTTGTAATACCACTACTGCTAACTCATTTTGAGTTATTAAACACTTGGAAGGACCAAAAAAAAAAAAAAAAGAGAAAGAGAGAGAGAGAACTGTTTTGCCATAAGGGGGAGCTTTTGAGTTCCATAAAGAGGGGGGAAGAAAAAGAACAAAAATATATTACATATATGTCCCAGTTCAAAACAGATCCACAAAGCAGCAAATGGTCAGATCCTTACCTGTGACTTGAACAGTTTCAGAGAACCTGAATTTCTTAGGTTGAAAAAAGCAGGCAAATTACAATTTTTCTCTTTTTTCTTAATAGAAAACTACAATAATTTCCAACAGCCAATAGAATGTTTTTGAGGATTCAGGAGTATTTAGAGACCTAGTTGTGCTGAGTGTAAGCTTCGGAAAGGCAAATGCCTTGGAAAATGCCTTTCCCCTGGTTGTTCCTGGTGATTCTCTGAGGATTTTGGGGACAACATTTGGACTAGCTGAAGCCAGCACCACTGGGGGCTCAGGGAGGAGAAGGGATATTCACCACTGCATAACTTTAAGGGAATTCTGAGCTGGGAAAAGGATAGGGAAGGCGAAAGACAGGAGGGAAGGAGAAAGGAAAGAGGAAGAGGGAGAGAAAGGGAGTGGAGAGAGGGAGAAAAGGAAAGGGAGAGAGAGGGAGGGAGAGAGACTGAGAGAGAGAGGGAGAGACAGCATTACAAAAAATTCAGAGAATCAAGTTTCAAGACCCTTTCTGTGCTACAGAGAAGGATGAGGTTTACCAGCAGGCTGCGAAGGGGATCCTGAGCAAAGAGAGGGATTTTTCTCCCGCCAGGAGGAAAAAAAAATAATAAT